ACCTGGTACTCTGGAAGCTTGAGTTATTTTGATTACAGATGTCAAGTACCTGGTACTCTGGAAGCTTGAGTTATTTTGATTACAGATATCAAGTACCTAGTACTCTGGAAGCTTGAGTTATTTTGATTACAGATATCAAGTACCTGGTACTGTGGAAGATTGAGTTATTTTGATTACAGATATCAAGCACCTAGTACTCTGGAAGCTTGAGTTATTTTGATTACAGATATCAAGTACCTGGTACTCTGGAAGCTTGAGTTATTTTGATTACAGATATCAAGCACCTAGTACTCTGGAAGCTTGAGTTCTTCTGATGACAGATGTCAAACACTTAAGTGAACTAATGTATTCCAAATTACAGTCTTCCCTTTTGCTACTAACTAAACCTAACATTGAAATAAAACCAGTGTACCAAAAAATTTGAAATGAGTTGTGATGGAAACAAAATAAAAACTTGTATTGAATTACAATATTTGTATTAATTCTAATGATAATTTTGTTGTTTTAATGCTATATTACGTTTTCTTGTTAACTACTAATGTTAATGTGTGTTTATGTTTATCAATACACATGTGTGTACATATTAATCATTATTTCAACTTCTGCACACTCTAGGATGCCATGGAATATGCAGCAGAGTCTAAGATGGGTGACATAGCAGAAGAGCTGCTTGCTTGGTTCCTAGAAGAGAAGAATTATGAATGTTTTGGGGCCTGTTTGTTCCAGTGCTACGATCTTCTCCAACCTGATGTGATTCTCGAACTGGCATGGCGTCACGGAATTACCGACTTTGCAATGCCTTACTTGATCCAAGTCATGAGAGAGTACATCACCAAGGTATGTAAGCACACGTGTACCAAGTAGAGATAACTAACTGCTAACCCGTATATATCCCCACGGTGAAAACTTTCCGTTTGTTCACGGATTTCGGGTAAGCCACAAGGAATATGAGATATGTTTAAAAACACATTCTCAGAAGAAAGAAAGTAACCCATATTTGTAAGATTGGAATTAAGGAATTTATGGGTGTTGAATAAATAATAATTATAGGGAAAATAATGTTTCCGTTGCATTGAGCTGATGTTACTATAAATGTTATAAAAATAACTTGTTTTCAAAAAAATTTCCTCTTAAAATTTTCATGTGTGAAGTTTACAAACCTACAGGTTCAATGTGCATGTGGGTGCTGCAATTTGCTGGAATCTGTTGACGGTGGATAAATCAATACATGGAACGAAGAAATATATTTAGTGTTTTGATTGGATCTTTTTTTTAAATTGACTACGTGACTTTGCACTATTGAAGTGGCTGTTATAGACAGTAATTGTTTACGTGATTAATTATTTGTAATCATCATGCCACAGTGCCAGGCAATAAAGTGTATGAACACTAAAGTTAAATGTTTTTAACCCCCTGGTGTGACTCGGTAGTAAGTTTAAGGACATATAACACTAAAATTGGGATTTCAAAACCCACAATTGTCAAAGAAAAATTAGCTAATTGGGTAGCTTTGTGCTTAACGAACAAACAATCTTGTTTCTTAAATATTTGAGAAAAAGTAAGTTTCATATAATTAGACATTGTAAAATTGTTTTTATTTAGCTGTATTATAGATTACAAAAAAAAACCTGAGAAACTTCATATTTCTTAGTTATGATTTTTACTTTTTGAAATAATTTTAATATTTGTAAGATATTTTATGAGATTTTGTGTCATTTGTAGGTGGACAAGTTGGATGAACAAGAAAATGAAAGATTATTAGAGTCATCTCAAAGTGAACAAAAAATATTTTATGGTAAAAAAATGTTAATATATATTGTTTATTATTCATAAATCTTTGGTTCTTTTGATGAGTTTTCTTCTGAAATGAAGTTAGTTTGTGTACTTATCTAAGTTTACCAGTTTTCATAATTGATCGTCAATGTACTTGATAGAGCACATGGTTTCTCTGGTGAAAATGAATAAGTTTTAGTAGCCATTAAAGAAAGCTAAGTTTCTAAAGGTATCTTATGCAGTTTCAGAACTGATGTTTAGCTCGAAGGCACATAAGTACAAAACGTGTGCGTATAAGTATTGTTTAAGCAAAAATGTATTGGTTCCCTTTTTGGCTTATAATTGCTTTAAGCTTTAAAAGATAACAAAGGTCTTACGCAGAGTAAAGTCGTAAGTCAAACATATCCCAGTTGTTTTTGAGTTTTGATTATTATAAGTTATAAATTTCTTGACGAGGAAAGACTTTTGTAGGATAAACCATCAACTCGCATTGACTTGTAGAATGAATACTGTTTTTTGGTAGTTCAGTAGAACTTGTTCCCACCTGTAGAATAAAAATATTAAATCTGACTAGTCAGAAGAATAGCCCTAAGTGGCTTATTGGTAAGTCTGCAGGCTTACGATACTATAAATCGGGTTTCAATACCAATGTTGGGCAGAGCATAGATAGCCGATTGTGTAGCTTTGCACCTAACAACAACTACGCATATAGTTGTAATAATGTTTGAATTGGTGCTTAACCCTGGATGTTATTTTTTTATTCGTTGTTTGTATACGTTATTTCATTTATAGTATAGCATTTTTGTCACTTGCAATATATATATATATAGTTTCCCCCACTTTTCCAGTTTACTTGATACAAATGTACCCCAACATTTGAATTGACTTGATAGTCGGTATTATTTTTAGTTGCTAGGAAATACTGTTAACTAATTAAAAACCCAGGTGTACTTCTGTTAAATGTTCTGTTACATGGCCATGAAGAAAGAACAGAGATTTATTTTTGTGACATTTTAAATTTTGTATTACGTGTTTTTTAAATCCTCTACATTTTGTTAAGTGCACAGTGTGAAAAGATGTAAATATATCCAAGATAAAAATATTTTTCATTGATTTTCTTACAGCTCCTGAACCTCAGCTAATGTTGACTGCTGGCCCGGGCATGATGGGACCAGCGTACCAGTCTTACAGCCAGCCCATGCCAGGCTATCAGAGCTATGGCATGTAAAACCAATACCACCAGTACAAGAGAACCCACTTCCTTCCAGTTCGAGAAAGAATGGCCTGCAGGCACAGGACTAAATTTGAATGAATAGAACATTGCTTTAGGGAATAGTCTAGTGTTGTACCTCTGTCTCCTATTTTATTTTAGTGTTACTTTTGACAGAAAAGGGTGTAATTTAAAACTTTTTTTTATATATATATATATATAAATTATTCAGCTAAAATTTAGCATTTTCCACTTTCTTTGATCAGCCCATTCCTGTGTTTGTATTAACATGACATTAGGTACATTTTTTTTCTTTTGTTTTTTGTATGTGTGTATGGGGAACAGTGAGCATGAGGAATACTGTTCACTGAGGCATTATTTAAGATTGAGGGACTGGGGATAAAGCAAGGATATGAATCTGTAGTTCTAAATATTGATTTTTTTTCTTGATAACGGAATTGTTTTCAAACTCTTTCTCAAGGCATGAATTGTGCAGTCTTCATAATGTTGAGGAATGACTTATTTACCATCATTTTCAGCAGTTGTAAAATATTGTGGAATAAAACCTTTCATTCTAGGAATTAGTAAGAAACCTACGACTTTTTTTGTTGGGGAAGATGTGTGGGAATAGTAGTAAAAGGAATGTACGTTACCTTGATATCGTTTTATTTTTGAATTTGGTTAAATGTGAAGTACGATAATGTGTCTGGTACCCGTGTTTAACCTAGAAACCAAGAATTTTTTTAAATGTTCTTCTAATAGTACATGTGTCGTAAACACCCAAGTGAGACGAAACCTAGGTTTAAGAAGTACTCTTAAAGCAGTTCGGAAAAGTTTCAGTATTGTATGGTAGAAGTGGTAACTTACTGGTGGTGTTTAGATTATCCAAGTTTTCAAGGTTTGGTCAAAAATGTGTAGAATAATGTTTTGATGGTCCAAAATGCTGTAGTAGTGAGAATTTAGTCTTACTGGCTGTATGTGTACCAAGTAAAGATTGCAGGCTAAAAACGATACAAATCCAAAAGTCACATTAATAAATCATAATTCGTTGTTGTTGTTTTTTTGTTTCAATCACCTCCATTAATTAAATACTATTATCTGTCTATGAACTGTATTGTTTCAACTTATTATCATTTGGAAATATCTAAATTAGCCCTAATAATGTTATGGGCCTGTCATATCGCAGTTACTTTACAAATGTACCTTTACAACACGAGTTCATAAGACTAATAAAAAGGTACTAAAGTTGTAACTTTGTTTTGTTTTTTTTATATTGTTTTAATATTTACAAAAACAAAAACAAAAAAAAATTCAGTTTGACCTTCACTGTTAAGTATTTATCTCTTTTTCTTTTCTTTTTTTTCTTGTATTGCTCTGTGCGTGTGCGTGCACATCCTCTTTGGAGAAGAACCTTTATTAGTCAGGTAACAGAGAAACAAATGTTCACTAATCAATTAAGTGTTTTCTAGAGTTTAAAAGTTCTAAGTTTGGTATGTGAATAAAACTTCCAAAGTTACCATTATAAAATTCTAATTACTGTAGGTCACTGAAGTCGGTAGAGTTCACAAGAGTCATCTAATCTTTTATTGTTTTTTTTATAACTTTGTGATTCTCTTCTGTTGTTTTGAACAACTGTTTATTGGTGCACTGAAAAGAAAAAGTCTTACATTTTGGAACCAAAAGAACTTTCTTGAGAGTCTATGATGAAAGTAATTTCATTTAATACTGGTATCATACTTTTTTCTCTCTCTCTTCTTAATTTTAAATCTTGATTTTCACCAAGGGATTCTTTTTTTTTGGTTGTATTCCTGTATTATTTTTTTTTATTCTTTTTTTTTCTTCCTTCACACACTCAACAGGATTAACTGAAAAATAAGTGTAACTTTAAGAACTATTAACTGGGTTAAAAAAAAGGGGGGGGTACAAATTTAGTTCTAATTAAATTAACTAAAATGTTCCCAAAGCGTTAACACACAAGAGTTAAATACATACAATAAAGTCTTCCTGTTAAGCCAACTTTCTGTTTCATCCATCATATTATCTCAATCTACTGGTTTATTTTTCAGATTGCAGTACATGTGATATGGAATTTGTGTGAAATACTGCCTTCACATGTCATGTTATTTCACTTACTGAAATGTGTCATAGACTATAAAGTATATTTTTAAAAGTTTGTCAGAATAATATTTATCGTCATATTTATTACTTGCGTTATGTTTAGCTCACTAATTTTTTTTTTCACCGTATATATATTTTTTTTGTCATTTGCATATATTTATCTGTAATTCTATTATGTTGGTGGATTATTTGCCTAAAATTATTTTATTACTGTAAACTGACGTGTATGATTAGGAACACCAAAACTAATAAAAAAAATAAATTTGTTGAGAGCTTAGTAATATTTATAAAATGAAACATTTTTTTTTAATATCTATTTTGAGGCTTGGTTTCTCCAAACTAATTATAAAAAAAGCATTGCAGTTTGATTACCCGATAATATGTCAAATAAGGATGGCGAGCTGATGTCCATTTTGTGCATGGATATGAGTATGAACTTTAAAATTTATGATAAACATCCCACATTAATATCTAGTAACGTATTTAATACTCTGAAATCAAAACTTAGAATGTTTTTATTAAATTGGAACACGTATATTATCTCACACAAAAAATGAAGTTCATCCACTAAAGTTTTCTGGGTGAAATATTCAAATAAGAAACGTTTAGTACATTTTGTTATACCTTTATGTTCCACCATACATGGTTGGTTCAGCAGTAAGTCTATTGGTTTATGATGCTAGGGGCCTTGTGGTTAAGGTACTTGACTCTCAATCTGAGGGTCGTTGGTTTGAACCCCCTATCACCAAACATGCTTGCCCTTTCAGTTGTGGGGACATTATAATGTGACAGTCAATCCCACTTTACATTGGTAAAAGAGCAGTTTGGGAGTTGTTGGTGGGTGGTATTGACTAGCTGACTCCCCTCTAGTCTGTAACTGCTATATAAGGGACAGATAGCCCTCGTGTAGCTCGCTCTGCACGAAATTAAAGGCTAGCTTCAGTGTCTGTGGTGGACACAGCACAGATAGCCCACCTTGTAGCTTTGTGTTGAACAGACAAAATCAATTTGTTGATTTATTTGTATAGTGATCGGTAAGCCAAATTATTAATTTTTTTCTCTTTTTTTTTTTTGTTGTGTGTGTGTGGGTGATTTGGAAATGTTTCGCCGGAGCACGTATATTTCCCCATTTTTTTGGCAGAAATCCACTTTCTTTTTCGAAGGTGGGTTTCGTGTAGATCTGGTGTGGTTACTTAATTCCTGCTTGGTAGATGTGGATAAGAAGTACCAAATAGTGAACCGCATCTATTCGCACGTTAGGCTTCTGATTTTAGGACCATTCTAATGCCTAACAATCGGATCACTTCTTACACAATGTTTCTTTAAATGTGTGTATTACAAATAACCACTTACAATGATACAACGGTCACACAGAAGTGCAAAGTTAATTGTGGCTTCAACTGAAACCTTGTTTGCATTTATTCTGTGACATAGGATGGAAGAATTTGCATTGTTTCTCCTCAAAAGACTTCCAGGGGAGCAAGCTCCCAGATCCCCCCCCCCCCACACACACACGCTAGAAGGACGAATGTTGCTGCATGTTTTTTTTTCCCTTCAAAAAGTTAGTACATATGATTTTTTACAAAGTAATGAGAAATATTACAGACCAATTTAGTATATAGGTTACGCTAGGTCAGTTTGAACTGGACCTTGTGACGTCATGTCGATTGTCCTCTAACATGACTTCCGCAAATATGGTGGCCCTAAGTGAGTGCATACAAGTTAAATGCTGTCATTCTTGTTATGTAATAAGCCTAAGGCAATGTTTAATGACCTTAATATTTCATAATTACCCCTTTAGAGATGTCGTGCCTCCACTATATTGGATTATGTCAATCATATTTAATACTAATTACACCACGATAATATTTTTCTTTCTATCTTGATCCTCACCATGTCTCGTTACCATCTTCCGTCAATAAAACATGTCCAGTCATGTTTCAACTTAGTTACACGTTAACTGCTTACCCTCTGATTCTTCAGTGTATCTCGTTACCATCTTCCGTCAATAAAACATGTCCAGTCATGTTTCAACTTAGTTACACGTTAACTGCTTACCCTCTGATTCTTCAGTGTATCTCGTTACCATCTTCCGTCAATAAAACATGTCCAGTCATGTTTCAACTTAGTTACACGTTAATTGCTTACCCTCTGATTCTTCAGCATGTCTCGTTACCATCTTCCGAAACTGTAAGAGCATGAAATAGACGGAGAACAGAAAAAAAAAATCTTTATCATTATTGCGAGTTAATTTAACAATCAATACAAGCTATAGTTATTTCAATTATACGTAATAATTTAAGTTTTGCAAATATTTGGAATAGTTTGTTTGTAATTAAGCACAAAGCTACACAATGGACCATCTGTGTTCTGGCCATCACAGGTATCGAAACGCGGTTTCTAGCGTTGTAAGTCCACAGACATACCGCTGTGCCACTGGGGAGCATTTAGGCTGGAAAAATTCCTGTATCTAATAACAATTGTATGTGATAAGGAAATAATAAATAAGTAATCTTATTGAAATTATTTAATTTAGAAATAATCACAATAGTATATGTATGATGGTTGACGTGTCTTTTGCTAACACAAGACTATGCATCACTGATGCTATTAATATATTCTTGTGTGATATTTAGTAAGCTAAGCTGTTTTAAATGCTAAACCAGCCTATCATTCGCTTTACAACGTAATACCGAGAGAGTCAAGAAGGATCGTTCCGTATGTTTATAGGCTTCTACTACCCGAGACTAATATCGAGGCATGTCTGGACTTGTTCTGTTTTATTAACTCTCTTCTTCCGACAGTGGTGGTTTTTTAAAACCATTTACAGCGAAGTTTTTTTTTTGTTGTTGTTGTTTAAGAGCATGAACACATTTATCTAATTACTTAGAACAAAAATAACAACAGTTGTTTACGTGAATCTTCTATAGAATAACGAACTTCTCAGCTTGACAGTCGTTTCCTTTTCTTTTAAAGAACATTAATGATTAGATCCCTGCCATGGACACAACGTAGATATCACACTGGTGAACTTTGCCTTTCAACAAATCAAACAAATGGAATGTTGCTAAGCCTTACGAAGATCATAAAATTATTTCTTTAGAAATGATGAAAATAGCAGATCGTCTTAAACAACAATAGGGCTACTTAAGTTTCTGCTAACAAAACAATCAAATTTTAGCAATAGGAGAAAACTAATACTTCGAAACATTTGTCATTGTTCGCGATGAACAATTCTTGTTGTCATTAATAAAACCGTTACCCATATAGAACCAGTAAAATGTTTAACAGTTAGCAAATACGATTATCTGGAGTTGTGAGTTTAAACTAACGTAATATCAATGTACAGGTCCAGGTGGTTAGGGCACTCGACTCGCAATCTGAGGGTCAGGGTTCGAATCCCCGTCCCACCAAATAAGCTCGCCCTTTCAGCCATGGGGTCGTTATAATGTGACGGTCAAGCCTACTATTCGTTGGTAGGCGGTTGATGACTAGCTGCTTTCCCTCTAGTTTTTCACTGCTAAATTAGGAACGGCTCAAACAGATAGCCCTCGTGTAGCTTTGCGTGAAATTCAAAACCAATCCGATGTACAACGCCAACACCCAAACCTCAAGAGACCGCCATTACAACTCAACAATCTACTAAGCACACACCCAAACTCAATATCACGCTATGAATCTACCCTTTATGACTCTCGTTTCTTAACCAAGACTCTCTTCCCTAAACAAATGCTCAGTCCTCCCTCAATCAAGTTTGAGTTAAGGGAAGACTATAAGAAACGTACAAACAACATAGTTCGATATTTTGTAATGAATATTAAAATAATATTTATACGCCGTTGATTGTTTAAATTGCATGACTATATTAAACAAAATGAATTGTCATCATATATTAGGAGAAAACACCGTAGTTTATAATAAGAATTAAGAATGTATATTCTAAACTCTCAGATACACATAGAGATAGTAGATAATAGTTTATGTCAGATTATCTCTGATTTCTTACTGATATATAGTTTTACTTTCATATTTTTGTTTCGTATTATTGGTATTATGGTTTTGTTTTTAATCAAGAGGAAATCATTGTACTGTTACGTCCCCGTTTGTTAATTAACTTTCCTTAACTTTGTTCCAACGAAACTTTAACGACACAAGTCTTTACTTA